AGGGAAATCCAACATTTTATACTTTATAAACCATTATGTATGTTCTCTACATAATGTTCCTCCAACGCAATCCTGAACACCAGCCTCACTAGCTCAAGTACAGCCCTCATAGATGTCTACACTGGGCAACCAACAGGCAGTCAGTAGTGTTGTATGAAGATCAAAGTTCAGCTCTTTCCTACCCTTTAAACACCTGAAATAGCTCCACGGTCAAGCCTGCAGGGTTCCAGATTGCGTATCCCAGAGATGCTCTGGGATACTGACTCTAAGAACTTTAGGAGCTTCACTTCGGAGTACGGTAGTACAATTTCCACCACGGCGGGTCAGGGTTCTGTCATTGCTGTTGGCATTTTAATGCCCATGGCAAGTTCACTAACCTGTAGTGCCTCATGGTTACCGTGCTTTTCTTACCATGCCTCCCTGCATTTAAAGACTCCAGGCTGTATGCACCCAGCAGAATGTTGGCTTGCCGCTGTAGGGATTTGCCAAAGGGATGGCTGCCTTCAGATACCACATAATAAAAGACACAGCCAGCTGAAAAGATGTCCACGGTATATGTCTGCAAATAAACAACCTTTAATAGCAATAACACTTTTTTTTTCCCCCCTGAAGACTCTGATCATCACAGGGTGGTTATTTTGCATCTACGAGCAGAAGAAAACTTTTCAGAGTCACATATTCAGCTGCAAGCCAGCATGAATGCCCCAGCATCAAATACTGCGTAGCTCAGGGTCCAGCTGCAAGGCCGTGCCACCTGCTGGTTGTGCTGCCTTCTCCCAGGCAGCCTGGTGGAAAGGGGAAGACTTACAGGGTTCTCTTTGCAGTCCTCACTCAGCATCTCAGGGGCGATCCACCCCTCGGTGCCTGGCACACCCGACCGACGGCTAAAGCTGTGCCTGCCCACTGCCAGCTTCTTGCACAGGCCGAAGTCTGAAATCATGGCTTTGACTTTCCCGTGGGCGTTCGGCATCGAGATGAGGATGTTATGGGGCTTCAGGTCCCTGTGGACTATTACAAACACCCATTTATCCACTCCAGGCAGTCGCAACCACATTTGTAAATTTTTCAATGCATTTGCATTATAAACCTTTCACAAGGCTGAACCACTGTTCATTAAACCAAGTCCTAACCTCAACCTATTGCCTTTGGTAGAGGCTCATCACTCGTTTATTCCATCACCACAAGTCATCGTGTTTTAGATGACTGACTTGTATCCAAAAAAATGCAGCACCCTGAACAACTGGCCATGACTAACTTTACTACCGCAGTGCAGAACATTACAGGGACAAGGCTGGTGTCAAAGGACAGCCACTACTGCTGCCAGCACTGTGTGGAGCTTCTCCGACTTCTGGAATTGAGTAAGTTTCCAGCACCAGAGCAGGTTCTCTCCTTTTTTACAGTTAAGAGAATGTACCACTCCCCAGCCAACACTGAAACAAGGGACGTCCTTACCGATACTAAGGGAGTGCAGGTAGGCAAGCCCGGATGTCGTCTGTTGCAGGAGAGCGATGGGCTGCAGGCCGTGGTGACTGAAGGCCTTCTGCTCGACATACTACGAATTGCAACAGAAAACAAGATGTTCAGCCGCACCATTGCTTATCATTGGGCCCTGCATAGATCGTAATTATACCCGCCCCCCCCCACCCCAAAGTTTAGACTGGGTAAACTGCAGGCTAATGCTAGTTGGTAACACACATAGAGGAGTTTTTTCGGGTTTTTTTTTTGGCTGAAGGTGATGATCTCTTTTTTGTCATTTAGAGCTAGAGTTCTATCTAGCACTGTGCTCCCGAAGCAAGAGTAGAGGGTCGTCAAGAGTCCGGACGGCAGGAGTGGGAGGATGACTAGAAGGGAGGCCTTCACAAGAAGGAAAATCAAAGGATAACGGCTTCTGTCCTTAAATCGGTAAGGGTTAGGGATGTCTTTCTAAAGGCCTGAAAACACCCCTGTTTGTTGTAGGAATGTGTAACTGGCACAGAGGTGACGGTGGGAGTAACGACCACCTCTCCTGCAGCATGCGCTTCAGCAACTTAAGCCACAGGAAACTGAAGGGCTCCCAGGGAGAAGCTTTCACAAGTTCTGTAGGTTTGCAAGTGGCTCGTCACCTCCTGTAAAGTGGCAGCACAGAGCTCGATGGCGATGTACTGGAACTGCCGGTCCTTCTCCGTGCAGAAATAGCGGATCACGTTAGGGTGCTCGTCTGACTCTCGCAGCAACTGTACTTCACGGTCCGCAAAGCTGAAGCACTCGGGAAGAATTCTTTTCACTGCAACATCCCGGTTATCAAATGTCCCCCTACAGACAGGAAGGGAAGCCACATCATCCTTCTACACTCTGCAGGCAAAGCACGTACACAGAGTGACCACAGCAGACGCTTTAGAGAGGCGTATTAAAGCATTTCTCTTGCTGGAAACATACATTTGGTCATTAAACATTTCTAAGGGATGTAAAGTAGCTTTTGCTAGTGAAGAAACACTGCATGAACCATGCAGACACATGCAAAGTACTCTTTCAAAATTTTCATTTCTGTTCGTATTAGATATGTGGGTGGTTTTAATTAAAAAAGACAATGCAAATACGACATTCATTGGTCTGTTTAATGCTGAATGCACATACTGTCGTCTACCTGTAAACAATTGTCCCTTCAGCTCCGTGTCCCAACACATCTTTTGGGTTAAACGAAATCTTGCCAACCATCACTCTGTTTGCTGCTTCATCTGAACAAAAACCAAGAAACAAGGACTGGTTTAGGATGGGTCAAGTCCACCCTTCACCCCTGCACATCCTTCTGGGCCAGCATGGAAAAGTCTCTTTGCTTATGTTTAAATGAACACCTCAGATGATCAAACCAGACTAATGTCTCCATTTTGGTACCCGTGCTGAGCGGGCAAGTACCCTCTGGTGACCACATGATCCAACATGCCGCGTCAAACACGTTCTGTACATGACCCCGATCATGTCTCAAGACAGGGTAAGAGACTAGTGGGTCTCAGCAGACGAACTCTTTCTACAAAGTTTTACGGATGTCTTGTGGACTTTAGGAACTGCTGACTGACAGTTAAAGAAGAGGGGTTACTAGCAGTTCCTCTGAATAGCCTTTGAAGGGACCCAAAAGAGTGCACAGGAAGACCAGACAGGAAGGCCGGCTGTGCTGGATAACCCTTATTTCTTAATTCCAGTTTATCATAATAATACGTGGTTTTATTTATATGAACCTGTCCCTAGAATGGCTACAAGGTTGTAAGAATAAACTACCATAATCCCTCAGATGGCAAATAATCCTGCTCAAAGTTGGGGCATGCCACACGTGCACAGAGTTTTGCAAATGGTCAGACTAAATGACAGCCCGTTTCAGCTTTCTGATCTATGACGTATCATCAATAAGTATTTTAATTGGTGTGCTGTATCATCGCACAGACTGGAGAAACACAGAGACTCACAATAAAAAGACACTGGATCAGCTTTACCTCCCTCTTCTTGCTCAGTGGAGAGGCAGCTGCCAACATCAGATGTGGAGATGCTGGAATATGCAGAATGGTTTGACGCTCTGGGGGACATATTTGGTGTGCTGGCAGCTGAGCTCTCTGTCCGTCCACAGGAGGTGTCCAAGAAATCTGCTTCTGGGGGTGGATCACTGGGAGCATGAAAGGGCAACTTCTGTTGCTGCAGGAGCTGTATCTTCTCCTCCAGCTGATGCTGCCGCTGTTGCTGCTGATGTACACTCTGTGAGAAAGGACCTCAGTTCCGTAAGTGGAGCGAAGGCTCTACAGTCACACACCACAGGGAACTCTACAGCTATTGGGGCAGCTACATCCAAAAGGTGGGAGGAAAACTCTCTTGTTATCAGCCAAGTGGGCTGGGGAACTTGCACTCACACGCTTTCAGTTTCATTCTGAACTTCCATTGCAAAGCTAAGAAATCACACTGGGTGGGTAACGTGGCACGAGCTAACTGTTACTAGGCTGACTAGGTGCCGTTAAACCACAGAGGATAAAGGCTTTGATGCAAAAGCTGGAAGACCTGACAGTGCTTCAGGTGAGGGAGAGAGAAGTGAAGCCAATCGTGTTAAGATCATGTCTGTGAAAACAGTAACACACGCAAAACCCCAGAATTGGTAGGATGAAAATAAAAAATCTCCAGGGTTGGCACATATGCCCAGAGAAATCACGGTTATGTCAAATTTGTAGCCTTTGCTCCCCACTGCACATCTGTGAGGGGGAAAAACCCCTATAGTGCGTTACTTTAACTCCTGCGGCCTTTCTTGGGCTGTAAAATGTTACTGACTCTCCCAAAACTCAAAAGCACATCCAGCTAAGTCAGTGTTACCATTGGGTAAGTGATGATAAAAGCCACCCAGCCCACAAGCAGGAAAGTGCTGAGAATGATTGTGGCCATGTCTTTCAACATGGAGTCCACAGGAGCCTCCGGCCGAGGGACAGGCCGCGCAGGTTTCTCCTCAACATCCTTTGGAACAGCAGGAGGCACTTCCGTTGAGGAGCCTTCAACGATGTCAATAACCTAAAAGGCAAAGAAAGCTCTGTTAGCTCAGTATCTTCACGGGTAATGCAGCATTTATACGCTAGCCTCTCCGCTAAATCATTTTTAATAATTTCTAACGGTACCGAAGTCAAAGAAAGTTTTGGATGTGGAGAAAAAAAAAAAAGCAGTGGAAAGCCCTAGTTCTGAAATAAGGAATGACACGTCATCATATCAGCGATTCTAAGCGCTATGTACGTAAAAATCTGACACAAAACCCACGAAGGAATTCCACGTAGCTTTCCTTCCGAGTCCTTCCCCAACTTCTACTCCTTTATATTCCTCTATCACCCAGTAAGATAATTATTCTCATCACAAACCTCTTCAATAGTGGCTTTATCAGAGTCAGCCGGAATCACGTTTTCAGGCCTCTTTGGTAAATTGCTTGGAAATTTCTCCAGGATCTTTGTGGGGGCAGATAATGGTGTTTCATGGTGCCCTGTAAGTAAAACACATTTGTTTTGTGAAATAAAGAGATCTCCCTTTTTAGGAAAGATACTCTTGATTTCAGCATCTTTGCTGAAGAGCGTATATGAAGTTGATTTACAAAAGGCTTGAGAACATCCCAGAACAAAAGCTCAAGTTAAAACGTTTTTCTCTCTGTCCTTCCCAAGCAGCCGCAGTATTACCAAAGAAACGGATCACAGGAAGAGGAAAGGTGGCAGTTAAAAAAGCTGAAAGTTACGCCCCATCCCTGCCACAGGGATCCTATGGCACATACCACTTAATTATAAACTTGCATCACTTAAAACTGAACTTCAGACAGTTCATTTTTGAAATGAAACTGTAAATGTCCTGCAAATTCCAAAATTTTGGAATTTGGGACACACAGGACAGGCTGACACTTCAGCCTCTGTGCCATAATCCTCCATTTGTAAAAGGGGGAAAACATGACCCTCTGCTACATACAACGAGAATTAAAGTAACATTATGCACAATAAAAAAAATCCAGAGGAGCCAGAACACAATATTTACAGTAAATAATAAATTATCTACACCCCTCTCTGAAGGAGGAGGCAAATAATGAACAACTTTCCCCGTACTGAGCTAAGCACTCCTCATCCTACCCACTGAATACAGCGGGGGCCTTGGGAAACCCAGTATGCAGCTGTATACTTAAAGACATTAATTCATATGCAAATAAGGACAAATTAGAAACGATTATTAGAATTCAGTAATTACTGCCTGAGTTTAGGCAACCATTGTGACTGATTACAGCAGCTGAAAGCAGCTCTGGGGTTTGGCTGAGCGCTGCCCTCCAGGCGGCAGCGCGGCCCCGCAGGAGCGGCAGCCCAGGCCGGTACCTATCAGGAGCCAGTCGTTCCAGTAGTTGAGCCTGGTCTTTTCTTTCAGCCTGCCCGAAAACTTGACATCCGTGCTGGGGGTGATAACACACTCGCCGTTGTCTTCGATCGTGACTCCTTCTGTTTTCGGACCCTCTAGTAAGGGTATGGCACTGCCGCGGGGCTGGAAAGAGAGGTTGCTGTCACAGCTCAGGGGGTGCCATGTCCCTACGACATGTAAACAGGCACCGAAATGAAAAGATGGAGGTCAAAATTGGTGGGCAAGCCAGAATTCCCGCCAGCAAAGTCACCGTAAGTAAACACGGCCATTATGCCCTCAGCAACTGCTTCAACAACCTTGGACATTAGACCTGCCAAGTTACACGTTGCCTAGGAGATGAGATTACTCTCTCTTTTTTTTAGGAAAGTTAAACAGGATCTTTATTTCCTACCTGGACAGCCACAGCGTGGGCAAAACAAAACGATGATGCAGTTTCCTACCTATGGGGAATTACTCTCACAAGCAAAAGAGCAATTTTAACATGAAGCACAGTGCAGCCTCGGGTCCACCCCTGCTTGTCTTGCCTGGCACAATTCCTGATGAGCTACAGTCACTTCTCTGCAGCATTTGAAATTATTCCTGAATACGGTCATGCATTCTAAGGCTGTCAACGGCTTCAGGAAATATTTAATTTGCTATGCATTTCTTGATCGAAATCTGCAATTTAAAACCAAATTTCTGTAGATGCACAGCCTTCAGTATTTTATTTTCTATTTTAATTGGATTTTTCTATGGCAAAGTTGTCCTTTTTTATATATTTTTAGGCATGTTTCCATTTCACCTTTTGTTTTAAACCCCGGACAGTACTAATTCTGCAAAGGCACTTTTCAGCAGGGGTCATTCAACTCTCGCAGCTCCCAACTTACCACAACAGTTACTCCCTCGTGCACCATCGATGGCGACGCGTACAAACTCGTGGAGTATTTTCCTACATACAGAGTTGGTCTGGAAAAAAAACGCTAAGTGTCAGAAAGTAGAAAGTAGACAAGTGGGTGTTTTACCGTCTTACCTAAAGTCTTGGCAACACAACCTGCAGAACTAGTGCATGAGTTTCTCAAATCATCAATATTTATATCTTGAAAAACCTGGATCTGTAAAATTGTTTTAAGTACTGCTAGGTATGAAGCCATGCTTTTTAATTATGAAAGTATTACTAGTTGATTATTCATGTCACAGTTACTCATTTGACATAACTCCTGTCCCACTTCTGCATTATTCAGTAACGTGTTTGCCAAAATGCCATGCACCTTTTTTATCATGTGAAAGGCTTCACGTTATAAAAACCAATTCAATTCCTCACTGTAAGAAACTACCCAACACAGACCATCTGATTAAAGGTATGAATATGCATTTCCTAAGTTTACCATAGGGTGGGTATTTTTTTGGTCTCTGCCTCATCAGCAAAAGATCGAATACGATATAAAATAACGGCTGGAGAACTAGAGCTGCTTTTATATATTCTTTCCACCGTCTTGAAACTTGTAGAACAATCCTTAACCGAAGGTATATACATAAGGTTTTAACGACAAAGCTCGGTCAAACAGACAGTGAGAACCACAGGAATGTTCATGCTCACGTCAGTTTGCTCTTGGTCTCCGTTTCCTTTGGGAAAGGGTATTTCCACTTGGTAATGTGTCCAACCTCCCCAGACATGAACGTCAAGTATCGCAGAGTTTCTATCCCCACGTTAGTGTGCATAACTTTCCGCAATCCTTCACGCTGCCAGATGTAAAAAGCTACCACAGGAGAAGCGTAATTCTGAATCCACAGCACATCCCCAGACTCGCTGTCTACGGTCACCACCAGGCCATCTCCGTTAGACACGAAGTGGGACATTTCTGCAACACACAAACACACGGGAGGTTCCCTGGATTGCTGCAGTTCTGGCTGTACCCATCGCCAGTTCAAGCCTTACGCCAGCTCCGGAGCCCATTACACCTCACATTGCAAAAGGGCAGCTGATGGGCAAACCACGTCCGAATCGGGCGGAGGCCGTGCAGGTGCGATGCCACAGCACCGCAGCAGCTTTTTTCTGAGTGTGCACCACAGTTCAGGTTTGCTGCCATCCTCTCCTGCCATTTCTCACTGAATTGTAAGGAGTTCTCCCATTAAGAGCCACACCTGCTTAGATTCAACGTACCTGACGCTACCCAACAGGCTCTACACACTATGGCGTGTAAAGGATAAAAACTGGCAGGTGCGTATCAGCTGCACAAAACCCAGCCAGGCAGCTTGACCTATTAATTACAGAAAAATCCCAGGATATTCTTGCCTGTATGCAAAACCCCAGGCCAATATGTGGGAGGAAAAAGAAGAAAATAAATAAGACAGCAATTAAATTCTTACTGTATTTTATGTCTTCATCAGGGAGAGTAGCTGCATAATCAAAGTAGGTGGCGTTCCATCGCAGCTCCTTCTTCTTGGTGTCATACATCGTGATCGTGTACTCTGTTAAAAAATACACAGTCTGTGAAGCAAAAAAACCTATGAGAGAACAGAATCGATCATCTCAAACCTGAGACACTCTTCCAAACACCCCCCAGCCCACTTACTGCTCTCTGCATTTCATCCTCCCAACACTCCTGATACACAAACACCTCGCGCCATTAAAGGCAAAGCCCGACCCACTCGCACACTGATCTACAGGACGCTGGGAACAAGCCCTGCGGACGGTTACTGCCCACGTTAGCAGCGTTCTGGTTTTCTGCACAGCTGCTTCTGCCGGCCTTCGTTTTACTCACAACTTCCCAAGCCCTGCCCTAAAACTCGGCACACCGTGCTCTGTAACTGAACTCTCCCGCTCAAAGCACACGTGAATACAGAGGTCAAAGAACGAGTCTATAGCACAAACTCCTTTTTACTAGTCCACGCCTGTATGGCGCTGGTCTAATTTTAACAGTTACTTAGAACACTGCCTTTGTAATTTCAGTGGATACGCAACATCTCCATTTTCTTTACACAGTTTTTATAAAAGCTGTATGTTACAGAGCAAACTTGGGTTCACAGCTGCCACTGGAATGCACTGTTAAATGGACTATAAGTGCCACTTAGTCAACAGGAAGAATAATGGACCAAGCCTACTGCCAAAGTTTAGAAAAACAGTATCATTCTGCTGCTATAGAGTTAATAATTTTTCTGTGTAAAGTCTAAAATCATAATTTACAGAAGTTTTTCTAAGTAATAAACTTGAAAACCTGAACTGATCACAGGGTCATTTGTTATGAGCCTACATTAAAAACAACGACAACAACAGATTTTCTTCTAAGCTGCAGGAAAAAAAAGCATATGACCTGTTCTCCCAAGGTACAGGAGGGATGTTGATGGGCAAAGACTTTCTGCAAATGAGGAAGTCAAGGTTTGCTGTTTCTCCCCAGTCATGAGGTCAATCACGTACCAAATATCCTGCTTTTTACCTGAAATTATAATTTAAGCCACATTACCATTCTAACAGAGTTCTGAGCGCAGAAGAGGAGACTGAAGTGCTCATGTTGAAGGACAGTAAGTGGAAAAAAATTCTGAGTGTCTACACATTGCAAAGGAATTAAGGACTGCAATCCTAACATCCCACTCAAGACTACGTAAGCCGTGACCTTAAATATCTGTTTGACATGAACACGTATGTGCTCTGTTTAGAAGCTTCAAATAAACATTCTTCACTTTTTTACTGGAGAGACACAAAGTGGAGAACCAGAAGTAGGTACCGGCCCTTCAGGAGACTAAAAGTCAATACTAAGTTCATCCTGATCCTTCACACATTTTACTGCTGAGGTAAGCTGTGATGGATTTCTCCTCCCAAATCCATCTGCAATTAGAATGAGTCAGGACAGTGAGTCATCAATTTGTTATTATCTGTAGTTCAAGTGACCTGACTGTATGTCAGATAATGGAGGATGTCTAACCATGTGGCAACGGGATTTCTAGTTTAATTCTAATTGTCAGGCAGTCGATGACATTCACAAGCATAAGAAGATTTTAAGTAAAAGTCACATTTTGTTGAGAGGTAGCATCTCGAGAAACCAAAACACCCCATACAGGCTATTCACTGCTTAGAAAAGCTATTTTCTCCTTCAGGAAAAGTAGTTGGTTTTTTAACCTTCAAACAGCAATTGAATTATATGTTAATCAGATTTTCCTGTCGTCAGAAAGATTCATGAGAAACCATAATTAATACCCAAAATAAAGCGTATTTCCATGCAGTCTGTCTGGGACACATTTTGTAGTCGCTGAACATCTTACAGTCCAAAAGAGATAAAACCCGAGCTCACCCATGTACAGGATCCCATCTGAACTGCGACAGGGAGATGCCTGCACCAGCTCTGGGATAGTAAATGGAAGTTTCTAGGGAAAAGAAACAGCAATAAAAACTTATTCACATTGGTGTGATGGTCTGCACATTTGTTCCCAGAAAAGGGTGGTCAGAAAACTTCACAAATCTCAAATGACACTTTTTTCTTGTTTGTTTCTCCTTGTTGCAACAGGAGAAAGGCACGAAGAATGGAAGAACGACTTGCAGCCGAGAGGTCTGGAGGCCAGGCCTGTGGTTTGAAGATCTACCATCATCACTGCCAAACCACCTGGGCTTCAACATACCATGGCTTAAGAGCCTCGCCTGTAACGAGTAGAAAATGGCTCTCCACGGGGCTGTACGGTAACATTTATAAAGGCTAGACACCTTCACAGGAATGAAACTGTCGAGAGGGTGAAGCACGAATCTCCACCTGAAAAGTTCTGGAGAGACTGCCAAGCCTGTACTGCACTGACGGAAGGGGTGACGACCCTTACTAGGTTTTAAGAGACTTTTATTGGGAGGAGGTCACCAGAGTAACAGACAAGCTGCACCAACAAGATCAGGCCTTTGATAAATTTATCTAAATACGGTAGAATTACTCCACTCTTGCTTAAAACTTCTATAATAGTGATTATATTAAAAAAATTAAATTAATTAAAAAAGAAAGGATATTAACAGAATAAAGGAATAGGTTCAAACAGATTGCTGCTTCCTGGATTCACCCCGGAAAAGAACCTAGAATCATTTTGAAAGTAACAAGCTGGCTGTACTGGGGGGCAGAGGGAGAGGTGAGTAAATACAAAAACATTTAAAAATATTAAGGTTCTTAAGGGAAATACTAGCAGCTGCCAGAGAAAAGAAACTTGTGGGAAGCCAAACATTTTATCTGAGTATCACCACAAAGTTTAAAAATAAAAGTCAAAAGTGTGTGGGTTACACGGATTGGTGACTCTTTTGAAAAGGTTCAGCATTCTTGTCTGCTTACTAAATCTATAAAGACATCTTCTAAAGGCCTCAGCCCAGAACATATATTAATCCTGCCTTTTGGCAAATGGTTTTAGAAAACTAAGTATTTGGGTGAAAGTGACATACCCGATTTGTATTAGTAGGAGTAAACCCTTCCCATCAAACCGTACCAGGATTATTCAGTATTCGGATAATACCACATAAACTTTAATTGTCATCGTCATTGTTTTAGCAAGTTACAGAAAAATAGTACAAGTGGACAAAACATATGTGGTGTTGGTATTTTCAAGCAGAAATTATTTCCTGATGGTCACAAGAAAGGTGGCAACTGTCTGCTCTAAGAAATGAAGTATGTTTCCACCCTGCAAAGGTGCCAGCAACACAGTGGAGGGCACTGCCACTCCAGAAACCTGTATCCTAACACTGGCACAGGCCACGGCCGCTGGTTTTCGGTGAGTCTGATCAAGCTTTCCCAAGCGACCAGGACTCTCCATTAAACGGTACGAAAGCCTGCAGAACTTCACAGTACTGTCAAGAAAGCAGAAAGTTCCCCTGGGGACTGAGTCTGATTAGGGCACTTTTCTAAATGTTATCAGAGAAGGGAATTTAAAAAATATACTCACGGTCAAGCCTTCACTATTCTTACCGCCCAGCGTATACAGACTGCCATCATTTGGGTCTGGAAGAAATGCTGGCCTAGGATTTAAGCAGCAATTATGAATGATAAAAAATGTACTGTGCTTCTCAGAGAACAGGAACGCAACTACGGTCAGTACTGGCTTTACAGAGAAGTTGGTCTGACAATGAATTTTTTAGTTTGAGTTACCCAGTTTTTGACGTTTCATTTATTAACTGTGAAAATGAAAAAATATAAAGAAGTTTCAGAAAATTCAAAGACTCAAATGTGGCAGGAAATCATTTGGGTGAAAGCTTTTAAACAAGATCTGTATGCTTTTAAAATGCCACAGAATTAAAAACAAATGAAACGAATAAACAAAAAGAGCATAAGGAAGAAAAGGAACAATAAGAGTTGCCAGAACCAGTAAATTTGAGAGGTAAAAAGGCACACACACACCCACACACCCCCCGCAAACTACAGAAAAACCCAAACCAAACCCCAACATCAAAACCAAACCACATTAATGAAAGGACGATACCACAGCTTCAGAGACACAAAGTTAAAGCCCCAAATTAAATGTGAGATTGCCATGCTGGGGAAACTACTCTGTAGTAACAGCCTGAGGGTTTCACCTGAAGGTTCTGGTAGTGGTGCCGGCTGGAGTTTCCTATGCTTCCCTGTTTTTAGTCTTTCATTTGAAGAGGAGTACAAACCCCGGAGATCCCTCCCCAGCTGTTTCTGTCATGTTCAAAGCTGCTCAATCCCGCTGTGGCACAGCCAGCACACTTGGGCCTTAAACCTGAGCAAAGGCTTGAGAGAACAGACAGCAGACAGGATGTTTCTTCTTGGCACTACAAGTAAGAGAACTGTGTGTAGCTAATTATATCCTTCCTGGATCTGCTCTCAGCCACCTTAAACTGACTTGGGCAAGGGATGCGACTTTCCTAGAACACAGATTGTCCTGGCTCAAATTAACGCAAATTTCAAGATGTCAGTGAAAATCGAAGAAGCAGTAAATGAGATAAAGGAGACAGACTTACTCTTCCACGTGTATCGGCACCTGGAGTACAGGATCTGCATAAACAGGAAAAGAAAAAGTCGTAATACCGGCAATTCAATTCCTTGAGCTCCCGCGATACAGGATTAAGTCAGCAACAGCTTGCTCCTTTTTGAAAGGCTGATGCAGGGAGTTTGAAAGTGGCCGTCTCAGCAGCCCCAAGGATCTCCTGTTTGGTCATGACAGTAGGTTTGTAAAATGGGAAAGTACAAAGCACTCGAGAAGTTTTAAACCTTCTGAAGTTCTCTGCTCAGCTTTATGCACACCACTTCCCAGCTACTCTGGGAGCAGACTCGGAGAAGATGGCAGTACTGTATTGTCTCTTGGGTCTTCTCCTTATTTCTCACTTGGACAGAGCACATACAGTCTGTTAGAACTGCCTGCACACACGTTAATAAAAACTCTTGCTGCCAGTACGTGCGTGTGCTCGCCGGGCGCTGGCTGCCCAGGAGGCAGCTGACCACAACGTGCAGCACCCCCTTCATCGTGCAGGCTTCAACAACCAGTTTTACTTAAAACCAAAGCACAGTTAACGGAACTTGGCAGGCACTGTGAGAACGGGGACACAAAAGTACGTCTCTTGGTACTTTTTAATCTGTATTTTATGAACTTGTGCTACTTTGTGTCTCAGGTACCTTGTGGGTCAGGCAGGTAAGCATATGCTTTCTGCCCAACTCACCATTTACTTTAAGATGCCCCACACAAAGCGAAAGTCTAGTGCTACACCTGCTGAGAGGAACGGGAAGACTGCCAACCACTTCGGACCAGAGTACGATGCAAGTCAGAAAAAAATTAGTTCCACTTCCTACTCCCAGAAAAAAAATCTCTGTGATCAGCATGTCACTGAAAAGACAAACAGAAGTCTGCCAAGGGCTATACAAAGTTACCTAAAACCTGATTTTTTTCACTTAAATAATCTCCCCACTAAAATTTATCCAAGAATCCACATTACATAAAAATAAAAAGGTTTGGAAACAAAATGTGATGCTAATCTAAATCCTTACATATTAAAAGGTAAATTAAAGAACAAGAATTTGATTTTAAGGTAAGGTGATGTGACCTCAAAATTACTGAGGCCTCAAAAAATCCTGAATCATGGGATTTTCAATCCTGATGCCAAAACCACAGAAGTTCCCAGATCTGTAAGACGTACTCTACAACTTGCAAGACAAACGGGTGTGCGTACTTATGGGTACATTGGCAGAAAGTACCCCAGAGGTCAAGAGGCTGCAAGGCATCTTCGCTTCCGCCAGGGCAATCAAACCATTACACCAGAATAAGCCTGAGTAAGAAGATGAAAGATGACCAAGCAAACAAACACTGTTTTTTCACCTGTTCTGTCTCCATGCAAACATCATGATGCCGCAGGAAGGAAACAAGAACAAAAACAATGACGTTTTGAGAGCCTTTGATTGGGAAACTGTCACAAATCCTGGGCAGCTGGAGTGTACTGTGACATTTGCAGAGCTAATCAAGACAAGAACAAGAAATTCAGGTTCATTACTTGGGGCTTACAAAGCCTCTACCGCCCTGCAGTATATTGCACCACACGAACTGCTTGGTTTGATGATACTGGCCTAGGAAGATGTCCCTTCATTTTATATTTTATATAACAGATCAAAAAACCATAAACCCCTACCCAAACAGCTCTCTAGCTGCACTGCAGCTGAAAACACTAGTTACCAAAAGATGCACATATAACATCACAGTCAGAAAGAAAGCATAATACGAGGAACTGTTATTCAGTAAAGCTATTTTTATGGATTTCATTTTACAATAGAAAACACTCTCAGAGCAGCTTTGTTCAAAACATAACTTCACATATATATTTTTCTCTCTTTAAGCCTAAAAAAATATTCCAGCTACATCCTCAAAGCTGTCAGAACAAACTGCTCAAAAGCATATGAAATTTCTGGGAGCAACCCCATTAACCGGGGAGGGCGCAGTGCGCTACGCCAGCACTGAAGCACACTACCCCTAGCAGAGTCGCTGCTCGGCGAGCAGACTTGTCAAGTTTCACGCTTTGCCTGTTTCCCTCACCACATGGTTACTCACCGCTGCACTGGCACGAAGAGTGTCAAACGCCGTCTCCCTCCACATCACAAATTCCCTCTCACGCAGGGCCCTGCAGAGCCGTGTGCCAGCGCTGGGTGGAAACCCGCTGGCGGCACAGACACAGCCTCGTCACGTTACCGTACACCCCGAGCCTCATACACAGGGCAGCCAAAACGCTGAGATAGTTTGGCTGGTGCTCTTGACAGTCCCAGGCACTGACATGCAGTCATAGCAGATGGAGAGCAAGAGTACCCATCTTGAGCAATTTTTCTCTTAATGATGAATTATCACCATTAGCACTGTTCACTGACGTAAGACGGCGATGCTACGTAAGTGTAGAGCTCCACATTGTATCATAAATTCCATCTCATTTATTGAAAACCCAAATACACATCAAAAGGCCCTAAGAATCATTAACGTTCAAACAACGGAGCCAAGTGATTCATCGCTATGTATCTGTCTCTACAGATCACACTGCTTAGTCAGACCTTTATTCCGTTAACTACATCGCACAATTCATTTCGATCTCCTGTGTGAAGAAACTGGTTTCAGGACATGTTGGGAGGGACCTCCCTGCTCCAAACTTACAGCTGATGCTACGGCAATTATTCCTCAGTGTTTGCTTCAAGTATTCCAGGAGCTTTATGATACCTAATGCAATACATGGTGACTTACATCATCATCTCTCCATTAGTAAAGCAAGCAAGAAAAACTCATTAGGTGACCATTATATAAAGTGGTTCACCTCTGGAGTCGAACTGCTAGGTTGAACTACTAAAAGCAAACAGTCATCAAATTTAAATACTCAATGTAACCATAAGTCAGGGTCAAAGGAATAAAAGAAGAAAGAGACATTAAAGACCATGGGCTACAGTTTCTATAATCATAAATGCTTCATGGGAAGGGAAACTCAAGAGTTTTGCGAAAGAAATAGCATCATAAATCAGCAGAAAATGGCACCTGCCTCCGTTGAAGTAAGACTTAATGCAAATGCTACAAGCCTTGCTAAAGGCAAAAGCCAGATAAACTTTGCAAGTCTCTTGATAAACTGATTGCTCAGAGAGTGTCTTGCTTGGTAAAAAATAAACTGTCGCCTGTGGTGACGATGCCTATGGCTACACAACAGCAAACTTCACCAACAGTGCTTGAGCAGCTTTGTCCTGCCTACAAACATCTCCTCAAATGATCACTAGTAATAACAAAGTTCCACGACTTGTTTTTGAAGTGGTAACTGCATATGCATTGCTTCAGTATAGTAATGCAGATTTTCTTTAAAATAATTTTCTAGTCAGCCTAGGCAAAGCATAAGAAAATAGTTTCTTGTCCAAATTATCTTCAGAAATTTATAAATTTAATTCTAATGAAAGAATTGCTTATTCTCTGAATTAAATGGAGGTGTGGAGTTGTTACATGAAATCACAGTATAAAACTAGTACGATCTGAGTCAAGTTCCAAATTTTCTAACTGCACTGTGACTGACATAACACAACATGCACTCTACAGTAGAGCAGGAGAGAATGCAATTTCCTCAAACGTTGGAGTATTTCAGGTTTATTTTCAAAGAATGCTCAGGAAAACCTGAGCAATTACAGAGATTTCAAAAGGTAGATTATATTTTCTAGCAACTGTTTGATCCTGGTTTGTCCATGACATTTGCAGGAGAGTCTGGTTAGTAATGCTTTCCTGTAGCTCCCTCTCTGCCCCCAAAATACAGTAAAAAATAGTAATATAGTACAGCATTTTTGGACTAGTAACTTGATTTTACTTCATTTTCTAAGACTGGGCAATCTGCTTTTACCAAAAAAAGATGCTCCACTCTGCTTCAACTCTCCTGAAGGTCTGAGAAGTGTTGCATGATTGCATTGACCACATAGCACCATAACAGTGCAAGAAGGAATAGATACACATATTTATGTGCAATATTTACTTGCATTAAGCTTTTACTCCCAAGCTTATATTTCATCAACAAATGTATCCCACACTTTATTAAACGATGCCAGAAATCCCACAAATGTCTCTTCAACATCGGCAGAGAGTTCTTCTGAAGCACTCTTGCACATCAGAAGACATGAACGAAAGCCTTGTGGCGAGGTCCAAGCTGTTCAGCGTGTGCTGTACAGAAGCATCGTGCACACGAGAAGTCCTTAAACTGTTCTTTAGTATCATTTCTTCAGTATCAAGAACAACAGCGCTTAAGCAGAAGAGAAAAAAATCCTGCTTTTACTTGTTTTCTCAGTAACTGAAATTTGATTTACTAACAACGATGAAGAAGAGGTAGATGGAACAGATTAAGATGTTATTACAAAGCAGCAGGAAATATTTTTAATACTGGCACATGAACCAAAACACTGATTATTCTGATAGCCTCCTGCAACACTTCAGTGTTGTACATGAACTGTTAGAAAGCATTTAGTATCGATGTCTGATCCATTTCCACGCGTGAGGCTATTCACAAGAAGTGAACACGAACCAATGGAGTAGTTTATTTTCTGAAGGGAAAGGGATTCTCCTTTCACCACTAGCACCATCCATCTGGAAAGACGGGCTGTGGGCAGCCATCTCCCTACATTTTTAGCTACTGAGATGAGGTAAATTTTCTCATTTTCTTAAACACTTTCATGATCTTGAACTAAGGTTGTAGCTCTGCGAAGATACTTTGAAGACAGACAATGAACTCTTCACACTCACTTTCATGTGGTTTGGGACACAGTCCAACTTTATTTCAAAGTTTGTTTAGAAATAAGAACTCAGTTTAGATAAAAAGAGAATCTTGAGTTTAATTTCTTGTCAGCTCTTGCAATAGTTTTCACATCCGTTCATATTCAGACTAGTAGAAGAATGAGTCGTCTTATAACCAAAGTCACCTTTTGCTCCGCAAAGGGTCAAAAAAGTTCTCACAAAAGTCAGAGAACTGAGGCCTTATCTTCTCTTCAGCAGCTCAGCACTCAAGTGTTAACGTGCT